AAAAATGAAGCCTCAAGTTGCAATATTGAAAGGTTCCTCGGGCAATATATTGAATGATGCAGGAAACATCAAAAGAAGATGGAAGGAATACAGAGAGTCAGTGTACCAAAAAGAAGTGGTCGATGTTCTTCCATTTCAGGAGGTGGCATATGATCAAGAACCAATGATACTGAAGGAAGAAGTTGAACCTGCACTAAAGGAATTGGTGAAAAACAAGGCTCCAGGAATTGATGGAATACCCACTGAGATGTTTCAACAAATGGATGCTGCACTGGAGGCACTCACTTGGCTATGCCAAGGGATTTGGAAGACAGCTACCTGACCAACTGCTTGGAAGAGATCTGTATTTTTACCTATTCTAAACAAAAGTGATCCCATAGAATTTGGATATTATCAAACAATATCATTAATGTAGCATGCAAGTAAAATTCTACTGAAGATAATCCAAAAACAGTTGTACCAGTATATTGGCAGGGAACTTCCAAAAGTGCAAGCTGGATTCACAAGGGAATGTATAATGAGGGATATCATTGCTGATGTCAGACAGATCATGGCTGAAAGCAAAGAATACCAGAAAGATGTTTACTTGTTTTATTGACTATGCAAAAGCATTTGACTGTGTGGATCATAATAAATTATGGATAACATTGAGAGGAATGGGAATTCTAAACACTTAATTGTACTAATGAGGAACCGTACATAGACCTGGAGTTAGAAAACTCTGCAGACTTTCACCTAAATCACAATTAACGAAAGAAAGAAAGAAATGTGACAAGAGGCTGTCATTCAAACAGAACAAGAGGACACTGTATGGTTTAAAATCAGGAAGGGAGGGTGTCATGGTTGTATCCTTTCACCATATTATTCAATCTGTATGCTGAGCAAATAATCTGAGAAGCTGGATTTTATGAAGAAGAATGTGGCATCAGGGTTGGAGGAAGAGTCATTGACAACCTGTGATGCACAGACAACACAATTTTGCTTGCTGAAATTGAGGATGACTTGACACATTTACTGATGAAGACTGAAGAGTACTGTCTGCAGTATGGATTACACCTCAATATAAGGAAAACAGAAATCCTCACAACTGGACTGATAAGCAGCATCATGATAAATGGAGAAAAGATTGAAGTTGTCAAAGACTTCATATTACTTAGTTCTACAATCAACACCAATGGAAGCAGCAGTCAATACATCAGATGACATATTGCATTGGGAAAATTTTCTGCAAAAGAATACTTTCAAGTACTGAAGAGCAATGATATCTCCTTGAAGACTAAGGTGCACCCAACCCAAGCCATGGTATTTTCAATTGCCTAATATGCATGTGAGAGCTGGATGATGATTAAGAAGGACTTACTCCTCGGAAGGAAGATAGGGAAATCTACTTCCATAGTGATACTGCCTCAGTAACCCAAGGAGGGGTCGCTATGAGTCAGGTCTGACTCAATGGCACATAACAACAACAAGAATCAATGCTTTTGAGTTATGGTATTGGTGAAGAATACCAAAAGTACTATGGACTGCTAAAAGAACTAACAAATCTATCCTGGAAGAAGTGTAGCCAGAATGCTCATTGAATGTGAAAATGGCTAAACTTCATCTCACTTATTTTAGTCATGTTGTCAGAAGGGACCATTCCCTGGAGATTCATAACATGTTTAGTAAAGTGGAGGGTCAATGAAGAAGGGGAAGGCCCTCAACAAGATGGATTGACACAGTGACTACAATGATGGACTCAAGCATAGCAAAGATCATGGGGCTGGCACTGGACTGGGCACTGTTTCATTCTGTTGTGAATAGGGTTGCTATGAGTCAGAGATGATTCAATGATAGCTAACAACAACAACACTCACATTCGAGAACAAGTTTCAGAGTTTCTTCTGACATCCACTTTGGTCTTCTCTTCTTTTCATGTCTTTTTATTGACTTTTGCTTTCTTCTTATATGATACACCTGATGTCATCCCACAACTTGTCTAGTCTTTGGTCATTGGTGTTCAGTGCATCAAATCTGTTCTTCAGGTGGTCTCCATACTCAGGTGGAATATACTCAGAGTAGTATTTTGGCTCTCGTGGATTTGTTTAAATTTCTGCAGCTTCAACCTAAACTTCCAGATGAACAACAGATGGTTTGCTCCACAGTTTGCCCCTGGCCTTGTTCTGACTAATGATATTGAACTTCTCTATTATCTGTTCCACAAATGTAGTTAATTTGATTCCTAGGGATTCAATCTGACAAGGTCCACATGTGTAGTCACAATTTATGTTGCTGAAAAAAAGATAGTTACAATGAATGTTTCATTGGTCTTGCAAAATTCTATCATGGCATCTCTAGCACCATTTCTACTATCAAGGCCATATTTTCCAACTACTAGTGCTTTGTATTTGTTTCCAACTTTTGCATTCCAATCATTAGTAATTATCAATACATCTTGAATGCATGTTTGGTCAATATCAGACTGCAGAGTTGGTGAAAATCTTCAATTTTTTTTCATTTTTGGCTTTAATGGTTGGTGCATAAATTGGGATGATAGTAGTATTAACTGGTTTTCCTTGTAAGTGTATGGATATTATCTTATCACTGACAGAATTGTATTTCAGGATAGTTCTTGAAATGTTCTTTTTGATGATGAATGTAATGTCATTCCTCTTCAATTGGTCCTTTTCATAATACTAGACCATATGGTTGTCTGATTTAAAATGGCCAATACCAGTCCATTTTAGCCCTCTAGTGCCTAGGATATCAATCTTAATGCATTCCATTTCATTTTTGACAAGTTCCAATTTTCCTAGATTCATACTTCATACATTCCATGTTCAATTACTAATGGATATTTGCAATTGCTTCTTCTCATTTTGAGTCATGCCACATCAGCAACTGAACATCCTGAAAGCCTTTTTCAATCCACATCATTAAGATCAACTCTACTTTGAGGAGACAGCTCTTCCCTAGTCATATTTTGAGTGCCTTACAGCTTGAGAGGGTCATCTTCTGGAATTGTATAAGACAATGTTTCCCTGCTACCCATAAGTTTTCAGGGGCCAGTTCTTTCAGAAGTGGACATGGCCACATCCTTCTTCCTTGTAGGTCTTAGTTTGGGAGCTCTGCTGAAACCTGTCTACCCTGGATGACCCAGCTGATATTTAAAATTCCAGCATCACAGCAACATGCAAGCCACCACAGGGGGAAGAGTGGTGGTAATATTCAATATTGAAAGCTATTTCTTCTCTTCCTCATTCATTGTCCAGCTCTCACATGCATATGAGGTGATTGAAAATACCATGGGTTGGGTTAGAAGCATTTTAGTCTTCAAGGAGATATCTTTGCTCTTCAGCACTTTAAAGAAGTCTTTTGCAACAGATTTGCCTAGTGCAATACATCTTTTGATGTCTCGACTGCTGTCTCCATTGGTGTTGATTGTAGAACCAAGTAATATGAAATCTTTAATAACTTCAATCTTTTCTCCATCTATAGTGATGCTGCTTATTGATCCAGTTGTGAGGATTTTTGTTTTCTTTATATTGAGGTAATAATCCATACTAGGAGCTCTGGTGGTGTAGTGCCTAAGGCATTTGACTGCTAACCAGAAGGCTGGTGGTTCAAATCCACCAGCCATTCCTTGGAAGGAAGGCTGGGCAATCTACTTCCATAGTGATACTGCCTTTAAACCCCAAGGAGGGGTCACTATGGATTGGATCTGACTCGATGGCAGTGCATTTTTTTTTTTTTTTTTATAATCCATACTGCAGTCTTTAGTCTTTAATCATCAACAGCAAGTGATCCAAGTCATCCTCACTTTCAGCAAGCAAAGTTTTGTCATCTGCATATCTCAGGTTGTTAATGAGCCTTCTTCCAATTCTGAAGCCATGTTCTTCTTCAGATAGTCCAGCCTCTTAGATTATTTGCTCAGCATACAGATTGAATAAGTATGGTGAAAGGATATAACCCTGATGCACTCCTTTCCTGATTTTAAACCATGCAGTATCTCCTTGTTTTGTTCGAATTAGAGCCTCCTGGTCTATGTGCAGGTTCCTCATGAGTACAGTTAAGTGTTCTGGAAATCCCATTCATCTCAGTGTTATCCACAATTTTTTATGTTCCACACAACTGAATGTCTTTGCATAGTCAATAAGCATAAGTAAACATCTTTCTGGTATTTGTCAAGATCATAACCAAAATCAGCCATGATATGCCTCACTCCATGTCCCCTTCTTAATCCAGCTTGCATTTCTGGAAGTTCTCTGTCCATATACTGCTGCAATCATTTTTTAAATATCTTCAGTAAGATTTTACTTGCATGTGATAGGAAGGATATTGTTTGATAATTTCCAGTCTGTGGGGTCATCTTTCTTTGAAATGGGTGCAAATATGGATCTCTTCCAGTCAGCTGGCCAGATGGCTGGCACAGGACTGGGTCGTGTTTCATTTTGTGATGCATAAGGTCGCTATGTGTTGGAGACAATTTGACGGCATATAACAGCAACAACAACAACAATAACAACATTTCAGATTTTTTTTTCTATTACGAACAGAAAAATTTTCATGAAGGCAGTAGTAATCAATATACAATATATTTTGTAGTTTTATTTAATCTTGTTAATTGTGTTTTCTTTCCTTTTGGAAAAATAAAGTAAAGAAAAATCTCAGATAATTTGATATGTTTCCTTTGAGGCCAACATTACATACTTATGCATAGTCTCTAGAAAAATAATTATTTGAAAAAAATTAAGTCTTGAATTGCTGACAGCCATTCTCAAAATTTCAAGCATACATTTTCTATGGAACAGAATACTCTATTATTCTTTCTGCTTTTTTTCTACATTGAATTAATTCAAATCTGTGATCAATCCAGTTATACAGCTGGTATGATTGTTGAATTAATTACTGTATTCTCCTAGATTATGTAGGGATAGTTTTAGACACATTTTATCTAAGACATTTTAGTTGCAAGTGGCCCAGAAAAATTTCAAGGCCTTAGTTAGGGGTAAAGAACTCACCGCATTCATTCCTTGTCCAAAAAATGGCACTATGGCATGACCTGCATCTCCCATCAGCACACAGTGTGATTTTAAGTGAAAAGAAGAACACTTTATGGATATCATGGGCTGAGGTGGCAACAGGAAGAAATCTTGTGTCAGGGCTTGCCTTCAGAGGAAAACAAGCAAAGGAGAAAGATGTTAAAATGGGTAATGAATACTTGACTCTTCCAGATTTACCTATTT